TGGAGGATCTGAGCTACACGTACTGGAAGGTGCTAAAAAGAATTTTGAGGTACGTTCGAGGAACCCTGTCACTCGGTCTTTATTATTCAAAGTCAGATGACTACCAACTAGTGGGATACTTAGACAACGACTGGTGTGGAGATGTGGATGATTAGAAGAGCACTTCGGGGTATGTGTTCCTACTCGAAAATATGGCTTTCACTTGGTTATCAAAGAAGCAGCCCATTGTAACTCTATCAACCTGCAAAGCCGAGTATGTTGCAGCCTCTTGGAGTGTTTGTCATGCAGTCTAGGTTTCAAATCTTCTAAGGCATTTGGGTGTGATCCAAGACGAAGGGACTGTGATCTAAGTTGACAACCAGTCAACAATCGAATTGGCGAAGAACCCGGTCAATCACGGAAGAAGCAAGCACATTGACATCCGATTTCATTTCATCCGGGAGCAAGTTAAAGAAGGAAAGATCGAACTAGAGCATGTAGAGAGCCGAGCTCAAGCTGCAGATATGTTCACCAAGCCACTGCCGACCATTTTGCTAGAGAATTGCAAGAATCGGAATGAGAGATGAGAAAAACATTTAAGTTTATGGGGAAAATTTGTTGCAAACTTCAAATGCTTAGTTATTCGTCTTTTGTTGTTTAGTATTCCTAGAATATAATTATTGTTTTTAAGCATGGGGTGGCAAAACTAAGAGTAGGTAGCATAGGGTGGTAAAACTAATATTAGGTGTCATGATGTGTATTTTGGATATGAAAAGGCAAATGCTTTGCCTATATAAACCTTGTAATATTTCATTTGCATGTTGCAGTATATACAAAAACTTAGAGAGATTGTATGTTGCCATATTGCCCTTTTGTTGCCAACAACAATGTTGTTAAACTTGTTTCACAAATATAAATTATTTGTAAAGTCTTGGCAAATCTTTGAAGCTAATTGTGTAAGTTGATCAACATGGCAATCCAAAGAATAACAAATATTTGAAGATTCATATCCTTGGCAACTTCACTTTGCTTTCCTCTTCCTTCATTCTTTCAACTTTGTCTTCAAAACGAACTAGCTTTTGACAGTTTACAATTAGCAGCTTCTTCAAAGAAAGCAAATGTGATAAATCACATGGTATGCCTTCTAAATTATCACAACTAGAAATTATTAAAATTTGAAGAGATCTAAAGAACCTTATATCTATAAAGCAGAGATTTGTGATTTGTGCAATAATAATCAAAAGTCGAAGGTTGATAAGGTTCCTCAAGTTTCTAGGTAACTCTTGAAGTGCGTCACAGCCGTCAAAGATTAAAGTCTAGAGATTATAGAGGTTGGAAATGGAATTAGGGAGTTTTTTTCAATTGAGAGCAATCACTCAGGTTAAGATATCTCTAATGCTTCAATTTTCAAAGTTTTTATATATCACAATTATTTTTCAAATGAGATAACAAAGAGTAATTTATATATCATAATTATATTTGTCTTTCTTTATCTTTCTACTTTATTTCTATTACTCAACTTAATTGGTCATTTGATTTTCTCTTATATCCATCAACTGATGTGAAATAAAGTTATCTAGCAATGTGTTTCTCTTCTTTTTATTTGTACGGTTTGACATAATACTTATAAAATGCACTGAAATGAAAAAAAAAATATCATACTAATAAACATGTTTCTATTATTAATTAAAACAAATAATTATATTTCTTAGGAGCAAATTAATTCTTTTTATCTTATGTAAGTTTTGATTTCGTGTTTCACTTTTTTTTAGTCATATAATTCGTAAAAGTGTTTTAAATAAGTCATTTTTTTGTTAAAAAATCTAATTCGTTAAAAGTGTTGATTGTTTCATGTTATGTGTATTGTATATATATTATTTATCATCTTCTCATCTTTCTCATGGGAGATTTCTCTAGTTTACATTTACTTTTCGAGTTTATAGATTTGTTTTGTATTATTTTGGTTCTCTTTTATATTATGTCTAGCTAAATCCATAGTTAGAATTATGGTGGATACTTTGCATGACTCTATGAAATATTTATGATTTATGATAATTTTGTGTTTCTGTTTTGGATTGGATCTATAGGCTTAAACGAGATAAAGGATTAAATAGACTAAGTTTAGTTTTTTTTTTCTTTCAATCGTTATTAAATTAATAACTTATAAACTTTTTATGTTTTCTCTTCCTTTTACCTTACCTGACGTTGAGGATCATAGTTTAGGGAAAAGAATGTTAATATCGCATAATCATTAGGTGTTAATAGATTTAGTATGAGTGGTTGACAATCATAAAAAAAAATTAGAATTAGAAATAATCTAAAAGTGAACATAAAGAAGTGTAAAGATGAAAACATATGCCCTAGATTTTTTTCAATTAGTTTATTGTTAGATATTGTACTATTTTAATTCTATTTAATTGCTTTTATATTGAATCATTATTTTTATTTAATTTTGCATCCTTTAAGTTCAAACAATTAAATTAATTTTTTTTATAATTGAAAATAATCCTTGTGGAACGATATTCTAAAAACTTATTTTAGAATTCTTTATTACTTTTTGACAGGTAGCTTCGTTTGGGAAGAAGTTAATATACCAAGTTTTATGTTTAGATTTTTTCTTTACTTAAAACTTGGGTGGTTTGGAGGGGGGAATAGAATTGTATTAATTAATAGTGCATATTTCATAACACCTAATAAGAAAAGGAAACACATACTACCATTCATAGCAAGTGAAGTATATATATATATACATATATATGATAAGTTTATAGTTAAGCCTTCTTTTATAGCTCATATATTGATGTTTGACCTTTATTTTATTTGGTTTTATACTGATTTATATGTATATTGTGCAGTTTAGCATAAAAAAGCCACAATTAAGTTTAAAACGTGGTTTGGGCCTAAATTGATTGCAAAATAGAGCTTTGCAACAGTCAGCAGGTGTAGACCCTATCATTAAGCATAGGAGTGCTTCGAGCCCATGCACAGTCGTACTTATGATCTTGCACAACTGTGCTCATCTGCAGCAAGTCTAATTAATGAAGAACTTTTAGGATTTTTAAACCCTATTAAAGAGAGACCTCATGCATCTTGTTCGATATCTTGTCTTATACTTTTCGATACACCTTTCATCTTATCTCTCTTGTACGAAATCGTTGGCATACTCTTAATGAGACTTAGAGTTTCAAGCTACCATACTTGAAGACTGAGAAATTATCTATTTCTAGTTTGCTTTTCTCTATAACTTTGTTTACGATTATTTTAGTTCTTCTCTTTAGCATGAGTAACTAAGTCCATAGTTAAAGCTATAGGAACTATTGTTCATGAATTTGTGGGATTTTGAAGTTTAAATCTATATTTGGTTTTCGTTCGTGATTAGCTTTTATCCTATTGCGCATAATTATAATCCTAATCAATTATATCGTCAGATGACTGTACCTCGATTAGTTAATAGATCTATAAGATAAAACAAGACAAAAGATTAAGTAGACTAAACCAATCTTTCTCTTCCAATCATTATTAAATTAACAAGTTCACATATGCTTTATACTTTCTTTAATTTATGTCTTACATGATCATTAGAGAAATTAATTTAGAAAAAAGAATATTAGTATTGCATTATCATTGAGTATTAATAGTCTTTATATGAATAATTGGTGATTACAAGGAAATTAAATTTAGAGTTAAACAGAAAAATAACATAAATAATTGAATGAGAAAATCTATATGCCCTAAGTTTCTCTCCTATAAGTTAAACTAAGATGTGTGTTGTGTTATTTGTTTTTATTTTTAATTAATTTTATAATTAAATTTTAATTTTTACTTAATTTCACATTTTTTAAGCTCAAACAATTAAATTAAGAAATTCTTAATAATTAAAAATTAATATTTGTGGGACAATATCTAAAACTCTTTATTACTTTTCGACAGATACACTTACCCTTCAAACAATATTTAAAACAGAAGTCTTAATAATTATATTTATATTGGATAAAAAGTTAAATTATAAATTTAATTAATATACTTGATATATTTGTTCAATTTAGTCTTTCTACTAAAAAAAAGTGTATAATTTGGTCTTTATGTAAATAAACATTTACAAATCAATCTTTACTGTTTAAAATTTGTTAAGGATGTTTATTGTAGTTGGGGCATTGGAGAAATCAACTTAATAACTAAAGAAGATGATTACCTGAGTTGATTCCATAGGGACTTAGTATTAATAATTAACTCAATGATATAACCCATCAACTTCTGTCTATCTTTGAGATTGAGTTATCATTCTTTAATGAAACGCTCGTAGAAATTACCATAGCTTAGGATATTTTTAAGAATGATTTTCATTTTTATTGAACTACATGATTTCACTTGCATTCAATATTTAATTTTTTGGTTAAAATTCATTCTTTTTGGAAACATGCATTAATATATTTTTAATATTTGGTTAGCTGGTTATTAATTACTATCTAACAGCTAAAAAATGGTGTTAAGAAAGGTTAAATTTGTTGTAGAAAATAAATATAATTATATACGATAATTTTTAATTGTTTAAATAATAGAATTACCAAATTAATTACAAGTCTTTTAAGTGTATGCAGTTTAAGTGTCAATTGATGGGTACATTAAACTTTGGAAAGCGCCACATTGTTATGAGGTGGCCAGAAAAGTAGATGCAATGATACACTATGGATAATCTTGTATATGAAACTGAAGACAAGTGATCAAACAACATTATTTCAAACAAATGAGGCATATTACAGTGATACAAGAGAAAAACAAGTGACTGAAACAACTTGAGTATCAGACACAATACAGTGATAAAATGAAACTAGTAGAATCACACACAGAACATGAACAGGTCTTATTTAGAATATTATTGTAGCAAACTATAACTACACAGCTAGGCTAGCATATACATGCACACGTGGAATGGCCTAGCTCTTAATTATAGTTTGTGACCCGTTAAACTAAAAACAAAATGACAAGAATTAAACACGCACACACATACATGATATATTATGTTACTTGGAATCAGATCCAGTGAGGAGTTTTTGAGCTTTGATCTCAAAGAAGAAAGGGTCATCAGCATCTGCAGAGTCATTAGCATTCCAAACAAAAATACCGTGGAGTGATCCAGTATCGATGAGCTTGGTGCATGCCTCAAAGAAGACCTCACGTGATAGCATACCTTTGTCATTTGGATCAGTGCTGAATCCAGCCAAGAGTTTATCTTCTTGGTAATCATCTGATAGTTGTTGAAAGAGTTCTACAAAGTCATCCGTTGAGGGCAAAAACTGATCGTAGAATTGATAGTTAACCCAATGAATATCCATTTTGTGAGCTCGGAACAAGTTAAGGTAATGGGAATAAGTGGGATGTGAAGGAGCAATGGACACATCTTTGATCACTTTATCCTTATTCTTTAGGCCATCTATAAGTGTCCCTATGCAATGGGCAAAGTCAATGTTATTGGATTTGATGTTCTCATAGTTGATATCAATGCCATCAATTATAGCCTCACAGCTACAATCGACTTGGGTATTGTAGAGATCAATGATCCTTCTGAGTGAATTCCTAGCCCTATCAGGCCATACATCTTTTTCAGCAGGATCAAACACATTCTTACGACCTACTAGACGACCTCCAATGCTTATTATCACCTTCACCTTTACACTTTTTTTTTCATACTTTTCCTTCAATTGCTTAATTTTCTCAGCTCTAAAGTACCTTTCGTTCCAAGTTGCCTTAAAAACTCCTGTACCTTTTCCATTCTTATCGTAGTCCTCTGTGGCAAACGCAAGAATGAAGTGGAATTCTTGCAAATTGGAATTGATGATATCAGGAAAATTATTCAAATCATCTGGGTATGACTTGCCACCAATATATTCTCGAAAAATGGAATTGGTAGCCATTTCGAAGCTCTATATTGATAGGTAATTGATTAAATTGCCTTCTTAATTTTGTGAGGAAGTGGGTGGTGGGAATGCCAAATTTCTTGAAGTCGCGCCCTTTTATATACCCAGAGAATTGATTTTATATTATAAATAAAAACTACTTATTTTATATTTTTGTATGCACAGTCTTACATGAGCAAAGCATGTGACAAATGCTTCTCACGTGCGCTAGGTTTTGTAGTACAATATAAAATTACAATATTAAAACGAAGGATGACGATAACTATGAAGACCATAGTTGGGGAGATAACCTATTCATCAATCTGATAAATTATTTTATTCTGTCAACATATTTCATATATATTTTTGTAAAGTCATGCGATGATGACTAAGATAATAGTTATCTGTTTCGATTAATTATAGATACACATTCTTAGAATGATGTTTTATTTTTCTCCATCCATGTCGTAAACTCTATATTACAAACAAAGAATATTGACTGAATATGAAACACTACAAATAATTAATAACAAAAAAATATTATCTCTTTGCACGGTTCACCGCTCATGTTCACACAAGGATTGTTACAATTTTTGAAATTGTTTTATTACGTTTGCCATTGTATTCTGAAGTTTATTATCATTGTTATATATTATTCAGAAAACCTGATTGGAAAATAGAGTTCCATGGCAAATCTAATTGATTCCGTTATTAGAGTTTCATTGTACATAAATTTTCTCATAAATATTAGTAAGGGTAAATGAAACGACTTCAAATGTGTTGTTTATTAAACGGTCTTACGATTCCTTATATTAAATTAATAGCTTTTTTATTTATAAAAAATGTAAAACAAAAATAATTAACGAGTATAAAATTTCGTTATTTTCTTTCTAAAATCATTAAAATTATATAACTATTGCATACTGCTGCGAAAATAATAGGGAATGGAAAAGATATTTAAATATAAACGGTTACCATTCAAACTAACATAGATAAAGATTGTTGAACAAATTGCATACATGCTATTTAAAGAAAATATCTAATTAACAATGGGGCATAAATTCATACTTTTGTTGTGGAATGCATTGCAGTTAATTTAATAATGACATTTATGTTAATTATTTTAATTTTCGCTTTTTTGGTCAATAATTTATAATTTAACTATTTACAATGCATATTATGGCAGTCAAATTATGTGGGCTTGCTTATTCTCATACGATAGGTAATATGATCATGTGATTAAATAACATGATTCGTGTGATTAAGAATAGTGCCAGCTTATTGCATTAAAATTGTATGTATATAATTATATAATTTTTCATTTCTACACATTTAAATTTTATGTAGTAAGTTTGCATAATTAATAACATGAGAATGATTAAATATGAGTATCCCGCAGACAACATTGAGAAAGCATATTTGACTGTAGGGTGCAAGCTAAAGTGTGACATAATTTCTAACAATGGTTGCTAGGAAATTTAAATTTGTTTCATTACTTTTATTAATAGATTTTATTATCTTTGGAATGTGATTAAGATATAGTGCCAGCTCATTGCACTAATTGTATATTTGCAATTATACAATTTTTCATTTCTACACATTTAAATTTTGTGTGATAGGTGTGCATATTAATACCATGAGGCTGATTAAATGTGAGTGTCCGACAAATAATACTAATAAGAGAACAATTGCCAGGGTATGGCATAAGCTCAAACAATGGTTGTTAGGGAATGTAAATTTTTTGAATGTAAATTATATATTTAATTTTAATAAATGAAATTTTAATATAACATTTAGCAATACACGCTAAAATTTGAACTGTTATTATGTAAGTAAAAATTAGAACAACTAAAGGTTTAAGGTGAAATAACGTCTAAATGTTTATAAATTGTTTTAGTTGTGATTGTTAGTTTGTAGTTTTACTCAAATATTCTTTTATGCATAGCATTACATGTATAGAAAAAAAGTTTGTAACTCATAATATTTTCACCTAACTCGAGAAAACAAATTAGTTCATGATGTATGAACGGCATGGAACTAAGAATCTATTGACAAAAGAAATTACATTATTTACTAATAAAATCATTAATTATTTTAATTCATAGCATATATGTAACTTCACCATGAAATGATTTATATTGAAAAACCATATCCTTTATAACATTAAAGTAAAATGAGTAGAATTATATAACATAAAAGAATGTTATTTTAAATTATAATGACCCGTTAAATTGAAAAGAAAATGATAGAACATAGATATTAGTTACAATCAGACTCTTTAAATTATACATAATAAAATCATTTCAATGCGATTTGTCTATTTATTTTTGGAAAAAGTTAAATGTAATTAATACTAATCTATAAGAGTTCATTTGGATTCTTTTTTTTTTTTTGTTTCTTCAAGATAACAATTCAATTAAAATTCATGCAATTACCCACCAATAGAAACAGTGTAGTTATACAATAGAAAACCAACTTACCAACCAAATTGATTAAGATAAATGAGCATGATTATATGGGATGAACAAGTCTTATTTCAAATTATAGTGTAACTTATTAAATTGAAAAGAAAGTGATAAGACATAAATACTAGTTGGAATCGGAGACCTATTAAATTATAATCGTAATAAAATTATTTCATGTGCCGTGTTTACTTATATTTTTAAAATGTTAAGTGTAATTAACACTAACTTGTAAAGTTTGATTTGAATTTTTTTTCTCTTCTACAAAAATGATATTTCAATAATAACCAAATCAAACATTGAAAATAGTGGCATTATTACGGGTAGTCAGAAAAATCAAAAGAATTATCATAGTGTAGATGACATGGTAAAATTGAAATCAAGTGGTTAGATAACATAGTAAAATTGAAATTAAGCAGTTAAATAACTTTATTTTTATGGACTGAGGCATAATACAAAGATACAAGCGAAAACCAAGTGACCAAGGAAAACGAGCAGAATTACACAATCATGTCTTTTCAATGCATGTAGTTACGTAACTATGTTAGCAAATAAAACTTTAAAAAAGTGAAATTGTTACAAGGTTAATTTTTAATAGTTTGCTTTTATTTACAAATACATTTTACAAAGGCTTAAGATTATATTTCTCTTTAGATACTTTTAAAAATAATTTTATAACCTTTCAAAACAAGGTTTTCTATTAAGCTCTAAATAACACTAATTTTCTCATTACAACAAGAATAAAAATTTGATAGGAAAAACTATATTATTCAAATAACTTATGTTGGTTTGATTATTCATTGCAATTGAAGATTGATAGAAGTGAGCATTAAAACTCGCTAGGCTCAACTATTTAAATAGATAGCATGTGCCCTTATATTTCTCGTTCTAGGTGTCTTGATCACTTATTTTTGAAAAGGTTAAGTGTAATCAACGCTACCCTATGAGAGTTTATTTGAGTAATTTTATTTTATTTTGCCAAAAATGACAATTCAATTAGAACTTAAACAATTATGAGGCAATAAGGAAAAACATCAAACATTGGAAAAAGTGACATTATAACGAGGTAGTCAGAAAAATAGAAGGAATTACAGAAATGCATATAACATTATTAAATTTGAAACAAGTGATCAAATAACTTCATTTCACATCTATTGAGGCATACAAGAGAAAATCAAGTGACTGATGAAGTTAAGTAAAGGAAACAAGATAGGGTGATAAAGGAAAACAAACATAATTATATAGCATGAAATTGAAATTATAGTGCGTGACCCATTAAACTGAAAAGAAAGTTATTAGTTAAAATTTGACCTAGTGAGGAGTTTTGAGTTTTGATCTCATAGAAGAGAGTGGTAGGACATAGATACTAGTAGACAAAATTAGACTTGTAAAATTATAGTCGTAATAAAATAATTTCATATACCCTGTCCACTTAATTTTAGGAAAGGTTAATTATAATTAAAAATAACCGGTAGGAGTTCATTTGATACATTTCCTCTTCGCCAAATATAACAATTCAATTAGAGTTATGCAATTACCAACCAATAAGTTAGCACATGAAACTTTATAAAGAGTGACATTATTACGATATAGTCAAGAAAGTAGAAGGAATTATGATAATGCAGGTAACATTGTGAAATTGTAAACAATGTTCAAATAATTGACAACAACTTCATCTCCACACTTTCCATCTTTAAAAATAGTTGAGCACATCAAGCATAAAAAAGAGTGACATTATTACGAACTAGTCGGAAATAAAATAAGATTTCTAATGAAAAAATAAACTACAATTTCAGATAAAGTAACAGAATAATAATTTATCATCTACTGTTGTATCATCACCAATTTTTACATTTCAACAAGAGTTTTTCTAAATTTTCTTGTAGTCCTTTCATCCATTAAAGTGATGTGAGCATCCCACGCTTCAATCCCCTCTTCTAATGATTCAATTTTGTCATAAACTCAAGCCATTATAGCAAAAAACTTTACTGGCTTCTAAGAAATTCTTTCCCTTATTTAATCTTGTAGGTCGAGGTCGAACTAATTGATAAAACACTGTTAAGTAATTAATAAAACACATAAATATAACAATTAAATGTTGTTATTCCAGAGTTTTAAAAACTCCTGCATAACACAATCTTAAAAAAATTGCAATTTCTACATACTATATTCTAAATATGTAACCGCCTATTCTAATAACTACACATTACATTTTGAATACATAACTACCTACTCTAATAAATGTTACAAGACAAATTTAAAGTTAATTCATACCCCTCCTAGAATATACATGTACACAGGTGGCTTAAATGGATCCTTTCATGGTTATGCTCCCACAAAGTGATCAACAGTATATAAACAAGGGGCAATGGAACATTAAAAATCAAGTTGAAGATGCTAGTGACCTTGAATTTCTAATGTAACATAATAAGAATAAGAATCTTCTTTCACCAAGCCTCATTCCATATTCCATTGCTACAGTTTTTAGAACACAACAAAACCTAATTTGCTCTCATTTAACTATATAATGTTCATTACTAGTTAAACAACTCAGCCCAAGTTCAAATCCAGAAGCATAATTTTGGGGTGGGGTGCATTCTGCATGTATTGTACAAATATAATTGTACATTTAGACAAAAATAATTGTAAATTTATAAATCCAAGAGCTCCATTCTGAATAATGGGACCCATAAGCCAGATACAATTCCAGGTATTTTTTGAAATGCAAACTTTGGCATGGACCTTGCTGAAAATATTCGCAAGAAAAGAAGAGTACTACTGAGGAGGAACAAATCATTAGAAAGAAATTGAGAGAAAAGAGGTTTGAATGCCAACACCATGATGATGAACGATGATGTTGTTGGGACGAGGCAGAGGCTGAGTCTGAGTCAATTAGGGTCAGTCTCCGAAGTGGGTTGGTTGGCTTATAGGTAATAGGAATATGAATAATGCTCCAAAACGCTTCGTTGCAGAATCTCTAACTTGGAACATTTCGAACCGAAACTAAACACAGTCAGCTACTTACGACCGTTTAAGCGTTATAAGATGGCCCAAAACAGGGTATTTGAAACATGATATGTTTGAAGAATATATTATATGATTATTTTTAAATTTAACAAATTTAATTTAATTGAAATTTTCTATTAAAATCTTATTCTCTGCAAATATTTTTTTATCAACGCAACCATAATCTGTAAACGAAAATTAACCTTAAATTCTTTCAACTTATATTTTTTTATAGTTTCTAACTATAGATAAAAGAAAAATAACTTTTAAATTGAAAAATAAATTACAAAAAAATTAAAATAATATTAAATTAAAAAATAGATATACATTATTAAAAAGATAATGAACATAATTAATAATTTCAAACTAATCTAAGTTAGCAAATAAGTAGCATGAGTAAACATTTTTAAATTGTTAGATATATTTTTTTTAAAAATAATTCAAATATTTGACATGTAACTTAGTGATAGTCTTTTTCATATATTTATGATTTAATCCTCAAGTAAAATTTGTAAAATTATTCTTTTAACTTTCAAAATTTAATAATATCATTTGGATCTTTTTCAAACAAATATTGTATATATTTCATATTTAAGTGATAAGTGATAATTTTAAGAATGTTTGTATTCACATGTATTGATATAGTTTTAATTTAACATTAAAACAAACTTTTAGATTAATAAAACATTAAATGTCATTTTATATTTTTTAGATTTCTTTGCAAATTCTGTGTATGAAATCATGATTTTTAAAATTAAAATTTTTACATCCATTTTCACAATCTCAATTCATTATAAAAATCAACTTTTATATTGATAGATAATTCATTGTCATTTTAAATCTTCTCTCAGTCTCCATATATTTGGTTGCATCTGCTTCACATAATTTTTCTTATTTGAATGAAAGTTACAAAAAAAAATGACTCACTAGATAAATATCATTTAAACACTTGTTAATTCGTTTAAGTCATACAAAACATTCTAATATTCACTTAAGTAAACAAAGTCTAATTTGAGAAAAGATTGAATATCATATTTTTGTTTAAGTCAAATTATAATAGTTTAAGTGAATTAACTTAACTTAAGTTAAAAATAATTACTTAAATAAATAGTAATGAAATTTATATATTCATCTCGATCTAAAATTAGTTTATAACAAGTTATCTTACTAACATATTTATAAGTTATATAATACACTAATTTATGTTAATTATCACTTAATTAATAAGATAATTAATTATTATAAATTTTTCCATCTATGAAAACTCATAAAACATATAATTAAAATTAAATTGACACTTGATTAAACAAAAATCACTATTAATTGTTGATTACCGAAAATGATTATCCTTTTCTATTTAAATTTAAAAATGTCTAACACTCTTCACACACTCTTATCTCTCACATAATATACCTTACAATCATACACATATATAAAAAATTAAAATGTAACAAATTTTAATGTTATACTTTACGGTTTAAATTAAAATTTAATATTATCAATATTTGTTATTATTAATTTTTGTTATAGAAATTACTAATATATAACTTTAATTTTAATTAAAAATAATGCTAAAAATACTTAAAATAATTCATTTAAATATTATCTTTATACATGTTATATTGCCGATAAGAATATATTATTTTAAAAAAGTGTTTACTTTTAAAATGTTTTCAATTAAAGTTCTTTTATTTTAAAATTATTTATTTCAAACATATTAATAGACTTATGCATAAATTATTTATTATAATAAAATAGATAAAATTTATATGGTTTATTACGCAATCATTTTACGAGTACCTTTGTTCTCTTATGAGTGTATTGATTGGCCTCCGTATCCACTTCTTTTTTTCAGAACGACGAAGATTGTTTAATTCATAAGAAAACTAGGTGTGGTTGTACTGAAAATTCTTTTTTGACAAGTCACCTAAATCACTAATTGGGTCCCACAAAAGATAAAGAGAAGACAAAACCACTTTAGCAAGCTTAAAAATCTTAATTTAAAAAAAATTAAAGATGAAGAAAAAGGTAAAGATAATTATATATAATATACTAATAATAATATTTAATATGACATGAGCAGTTAAAATTATTTAAGTAAGTTATTGGGTTTAAATTTTTATGTATACAATAAATCTTTATTAATAAACTCAGTTATCATATTTAATTGCGCGATCTGAATGAATCTAGATTAAATTAGATAAAAATAAAAAATATATATATATATATATAATATCATTCTATTAAATCCTAACTTTTAAGACTAAATTTTAATAAAAAAAATTATAAAAATTTAAAATACTCAATATTTATAAAGATCAATATATAATTATGTCTATATATATTTTTTTAACAAATGTTGTTTAGTAAAAAAATATTATTTTTAGTTATTTAAAACTAATCAATTTTAAAAGTTGTGGTTAACAATTTTTTAATATAATAATTGTAAAGGAGATTATTCTCCGTGTTTTAAGCCTATGTGACCAGCAAGAACATTAGTAGGCAAGAATTATTGCATCATATTTAATGTTGTCTTCACAAAAGAGGAAATAAAACTTATTCACCAAAAGTGCAATGTAACTGTTTCCCGATTTGAATACGCATATAGGAATCAACCACAAAAATAAAAATAAGAATAACGGCAATCTAGCATTAACGATTATTATTGGATTAAAATATAATAGGGTCTATGCCAAATAGGTTCAAATAAATTTTTTATTTGATTTAAAATTTTTAACAGGATTGTTTTTTATATTCAAATTCAATCCGATTGAAACTTGATGATATTTGGACAAGATCAAGTTGATTTGATCTATATGCAAAAATATATCTTAACATCATACATAACTAAATTATAAACTTAAAGAAATATAAAATTAATATTAAAGCATATTCAATATTCTATATTTTAAAATAAATAATATAAATATAAATATGATATCTTGATGTATAAAATATTATTTATTAAGTCTTAAATTTTTTTTATTAATAAATAACTACTTAAAACAATATAAAGTTTTGTTTAAAAATACAAAAACATCAGGTTACGTTTGGACTCGAAGTATAACTCGAATTCGGTTTGAAAATATTTCTTCTTATAAGAATAAACAAATCTCTTTCATGTGAATATAATATAAATATTCTAGTATTTATGTAAATCTTCATTGTCATCCTTAGCCAACATAAGTAATATTCTAATATTAATGTAAAAAGCAAAACAAAAAGGCAACGTGGCTTTTGAAAACACTTTGAAAAGTAATTTTGATTTATAAATATTTAAATTTTAAGGCTTAATAAATGTAAATTTCCTGTAAATATAATATAAATCTCTCTTTTTCTTTCTATCACGCTCATCACATTTACCACTTTTTTTTCTTTTCTATCTCTAGATGTAGACACCCATTGGGGTCCATAAACACTCCTTGAGTTTTATACATTAAACATAAAAGTGATAAATATGATAAATAATATAATAGAAAAAAAAAAAGAGTAAACAAAGATGAAGAATGCTAAATTTAACAGTATTAGAGTTTATAAATTAGAATTGAAATATTTTTTCTTTAAATAACTATAAAAATATCCCATAATTTTTACTTTATTATTTATTTACAGGAAAAAGAGAGAAACAACACAGAAGTCTTAAACAATCTTTGAAAATAAAATACAAAGTAAGAAAAGGTCACATTGGGATATGATGAAACATTCTCAATCCAAACATAAACAAAATTGAGCTAAGCAAAAACAAGGATAAGAAGAAGTAGCATCATCAAGATAACACGTAAGAACTTTTTTCTTTATCTGCTATAACAAATGTTAATTTACAACAGGCCAACTTGTCGATGCAAAGGAACAAAAACTCAATAGCCTCTGCATTGAAAACAAACTCTTTCCTTCGGATAGAGTTCAATAAAATCTGGCAAGTGGCAAACCACAGAAATACTCTGAATGTAGCCTAAAGAATATGTTACTTTACAAAATAAATAATATAGAATAAAGGAACAACCTAATTTCTGTCATCTTGGTGGAGCATCTGAAATAGGATGCATTTCTATTTGTCCATCTCCATGCATTCTTTGATTCCCAAACTTCTCAGCTTCTCTTGAGATCTGAATGTCATTGGGAAAATAATATTGATAAATAAATTTTACCACTAAACGAGGAAGCAACGCGGCTATCACAGTTCCGAGCAAACATAACCAGAACAATCCAGTTCCTGCAGCATGAAAGAAAGCCCTGCAAAAGTTTTCATGCACACGTAAACATCGGAATTTTTAATGACTGCAAAGGCTTATCATAAGGATTGAATGGCAAGAAAGAATCATTCTGATGAAAACTTGGCCTTGTCTATACTCACTACATACTACTCAATTAGTGATCACCTCCAAGGTTTTGAAACATAAAATCACTTATTTTCAAGGCAATAGAAAGCACATCTTATTGGCAAGAAAAGCAAAACCACCCAGAAGTAGAATTTGAATGTGTGAAAATATTCTAATAGTAGGAATTAGAGTTTGCTTGCTGGGGTTTCACAATTGCATGTTGTTTAATTGTTCAACATTAGATTTTGGTGGTAAATATATGTATATTCCTTTTGGAAGGCAAGCAGGTAGATCTAACATGAAGCAGACTAGGCCCCAAGTGCAACATCATGTTAGCTGCAGCTAAAGGATAAAGAGAGTTTTGATATACAGTAGAGGCTATATTTAGAACAGTTTTGTTATTTGAACTTCTAAATATTAACACTGTACATTACATTGTAAATAACTATTTCAATCTCTGGTACATTTTTTTATATATATATATATACTTTATATACACATCTTAAAAATACTCTCCAAAATCAACGGGGGCAACTTTTGGTTGTTCATAAATCATTTTCCTAACTATAATTTAGTAGACATGAAGAGGTTATCAAAATTGCTTCATGTTTACTGCACCAGATTCAGTCCCTGCATCTAATTATCCCAAACTAGAAACATAACTCATGCTAAAGTATCCTTACTTGTGACTAAAACAGCTATTTTTCCTCTAGAGTCAGACGTGTTACTGTTTTCCATGCTTTGTTTTACTCTTTAGTCATACAATATTCTTGTTCTACGACTGGACTACAACACATGAAAATCGGAGAAACAATAAATAAACACCAAAGAAAAAAAAACAAGGAACAACACCAAATGGAAATAAATCAAATAATCAATAGTGTAGCAGAATAAGCATATTTGTTGAACATCTAACATTTCCAAATATGACTAACCTTTCCATGAGTTACTGCATTAGATTTATTTGTATAAATATTCAGAGATATAGATAATGGGAAAAGATAGTACATACCAGTAACCAGGAAATGCAGGTATAGCATCAATAACCATGACGCAAATGAAGGTGGCAATGATAGAGCCCCAAATGGCTGCATGAGAAAGCCAATTCCACCTGATGACATCCATGGCCAAGTGCAAATTAACCAAAATCACCACCGAAAGAGTCCAAAGATCTCCTATGCTTCCTATATCTATGGTGCTTGCCCAATATGCAAAGAGGGGAGCAAAGAAGACAGCGATGCTTTGCCACAAAGTATCGGCCATTAACAGCCAAAACAACTTTTTGTTGTAGGCTTCATGTCTCTGCCCTGCCCCATAAAGCTGAGGATACTTTAGGAGTGTCCTTTTACTAAGATCCTTGTCAAGTATACCAACAACAATAGTTGGAAATGAAGTATAGATTATTGAATACAACATGCTGCTCCATTCGTTTATAGCAGTTGTCAAAGTGAAGGCAGTGAAGAGTACATACCTGGAAAAAACAAAGACAAACAGATACTAAGATGTTTAACTTTGGAGTCATAAATCTTAATAACCCCAAAGAGCTATTGAACAGATTAAAAACCACCAGATAGAATTATAAAAGAAATTGTCATTTTTTATCCAAATCACCTAGTATATTAGGTCGAACAAGTATAAAAAAGAAATTTAAGGTGATTTTGTGGCATACTCAAATTCAAAGTTATATGACGAAGGCATCTAAATATATACAGTTTCTATATAGTAACTTACCAAAACAGGATAAGGACAATGACAGCATTTCTGTAAAAGTTGTATATTATCATGTAACCCAATCGTTGGTAATTCCAATGCCCATGTATCAATAAAAGAGGAACTAAAAACCTAAACTGCCCCATTGCAAAATCTGATGCCATTACAGCTTGCCGACCCTCCTGTCCACTGATGCCAACTCCAACATCAGCCATTTGGATCATTGATACATCATTAGCACCTATAACACATTCATAATAAAGATTATTTTACATAAACACAAATCAAACCAAGAAATATTAATCTTTATTTTCTACCAGTGCCTTTTCTTTTTCTTTTGTTTGATTTGTTTTATTCTATTTTACTTCCATTCTTTTGAATGAAAATGACAATCTGAAAACAAGTAAATAGAAGATTTCATACCATCTCCAATGGCTAATGTCATGTCATCCGTCCTATTCTTCACAAGGGCGACAATCCCAGCCTTCTGTAGTGGAGCCACTCGGCAACAGAGAACAACAGAACATTTACTTGCAAGTTGAAAAAGCTGAAATCAACAGCACGCAGCCTAGTCAGCAGCTAAGAGATCAGTATGAATTACACTGTAACCACCATTTGAGATTTAATGGCACGTACCTCTTCTTCAAACTCGCTATCAAGAATATAAACAAGACTGGTACCATCAATAATCAAGGCTATTGAAGTTGTAACAGCATCAGAACTTCCTTCAGCATTGTGGGTAACCCCTGACACAGCCATGTGTTTTCTAGACATGATAAGGGCGTCTTGCAAACGTCTTCTGCATGATTCTCTATTGTTGCTGTTAATTATGATTTGAGTCATTTTGCTTGTTAGAAGCTTTGAGGAGTATCCAATTGATATGGCAGTTTCCTGTTTGTCCCCAGTCAACACCCATACTTTAATACCTGCAGTCCTTAGGGACTCAATAGATTCTGGCACTCCTTGCTGCAGTTTGTCTTCAATGGCAGTTGCACCCAATATGCAGAGATTGTTCTCCACATTGTTAGCGACCTTGCGAAGCATACCAGCCCTACCAATCAAAGAAGTGCTTGCTGCCTCAAAGGAAAGGTGCCATTGCTCAAATTCTGAAGCATTCAAGTCCCGCATCCCAATAACAAGCGTCCTCAAACCAACCGAGGAATAAGACTGAAGATGGGTTTCAGTTGCTTGAAGTATATCTGTGTTCAATGATTTGTCTATCACACTAAGCATGGATGAATCCGCCCCTTTAACAAAAATTTTCACAGAATTGTCATTGTACCCCAATATAACTGACATCCTTTTCCGATCACTATCAAATTCATGCAAACCCAAGACATTGAATCTGCATGACCCATAACAGAAACATTTATTAAAGGATGGATACAAATGAGACCTTGTTACACAGGAAAGATGTGTAAACATACTAAGCACACCGTAAATTGCGACAGATCAACGGAAGAAGGAACACAGTGAAGACATAAACATAACATATATGGCAGATCCAACAAAATATATATATTTCAGAATCTCTTTCAATATGCTCAACATCAATACTCAACCATTAACACCAAATTATTTCAGATTGCCATCATTAAAATATGTTTGTCTGCAGAAGAAAAAGAAGCAGATAGTAATTATTAAAAAACTTACCTTTGTCTTTCCCCATGAATATCAATGATTATGTGACCTGAGGTTCGTTCAATAAGCATAAAACCATAGGCAGCGGCGGCAAAAGCCAATGCTTGTTCATCTGGTGATTCCCCTTGATAATCAATCAGCTTGACCATAGGGTCAGATGTGTCAACCACAAGAGGCACAATGGTATTGCAGGCTGCCAGTGCTAGAAAGAAATCATAAATATGTTTTCCTTCTTTACTTGGAAAACCACTTTTTGATAAATGTAAAAGCTCTTGATTAACTTTCACCTTCATCTTTGGCTTCAAGATCATTCCTTCCACTAAATAATGACACAATAAACATGTCATGTCAATTATTAAAATAAAAATAAAAATGCAGTATACTTAATGTAAAGGGGCATCACAACAGACTATAAGATATGAAAAGGGAATTGCACCTGGAACAGAGTATTCAACTTGCTCATTCTCGAGACTGGTGTTTGCAGAACTGTAATCAATTCCAAATATGCTTGCGCATTGGAACTCCATCTTGTTCTCAGTCAGTGTACCAGTTTTGTCAGAAAAGACATATTTAATTTGACCTAAATCTTCATTAATATTCAAAGCCCTGCACTGAAATCTTGAATTTGTTGCCTTATCATACATTCTGGAGTCTCGGGTCATGAAATAAGCTTGACCAACACGGACAAGCTCCATGGAAATGTACAAGGATATAGGGATCATGACCTGGTACACTATAACTGACATGAGGAAAGTGAAAAGGATTTCCAATCCCCATCCATAATATTCATAGCTTTCTTCTTTGCCCTCAGAAACATCCAGTTTCCTATAATATGGCAAGAGATTTAACTCGTCCCTGTGGTGCTTTAACCAAACAGCAGCACAAACTGAGGTGACAGTACACAAAGCTACTAGAAAGAAAGAAAGTATAATGATCTCAGAGTTCATGCGAGTCTCGAGAAGGCTCCTCTTTGATGGAGCTCCTGAGCTGTTGAGCATAGCTTTGGTCTCAGGGCCACAATACACTGCTACAGCAAGTGCCCAATTAGTATTCTTTAGTTCACAGCCTCTAAGAAGAATATTGGAGGATCCAAGAGACAACCTCTTTCCATCAATTTCCATGTTACCATGAAATCCATAGATATTCCTATTGGGTTTCTCACACTTAATCAATCCATTAAACCTCTCCTTTTCAGGCAACTTGGATTGAGTTTCTTGTTTTGCATACCTAGTCTTCAAATTAGATTCTCCATCAAGATTAAGAGTCTGAACATAAGCAACCCCAGTAGGGTCACTAGTTGATAGCAACACAATATCACAAGGAATGGTTTCATTTGCCTGGATTTTAATGACCTCCCCAACTCTAATATCCTTCCACTTCTTCTCTTGGAACTGACCATTAACCAAAACCAATGCTAACCTATTGTTCTCAACTTTGTCTGACCTGTGCCTCCGCCAATCCTCATATGCATCCTTCACAGCAGTAACAAGAAGCACAAAGGCCAATGGCAAAATGGAAACGCCCCTCCCAAAAACAGCTAGCTGAGGGAGCTGATTAAGAATGGCAATTATAAGGAAGTAAATGTAAGCAACTCTATGAAATTGTTCAAACAGGTTCCTTGGAAGAAAGGTGAAAATGGAGTACTTCCCAGTACGAATTGAATTCCCTGAAAATTCAAACCTCTCATTTGTCCTTTCATGATCATCAACATAAACTAACCTTGCATCCTCATCCCTGATTTCCTTCTGAGACATACTGAGAGCTTCAGAATCAGCACCCTTTGAGCCATACCTCACAGGCTTGGATCCTGAGTGGCCAAAAGTCACTTCCCGGGTTGAGTTCCTACCAGAACTCCTAGACTGAATGGACATGGCACTTCTGTGTGATGATGAATTGAACATGAAAGATTCAGAATTGGAAGAATTCTCAATTGGGTTATTCGTGTCCATCACGGTGCTTCAAGTATTTTGACTTTGACTCGGTTAGATCTTGAAATTTTCCAAATTTTTGGAATCTCTTGGGTAAAGGGTTGTCCTTGAAGATGGGATCAGAAGGTAGTAAGCCTCAGAACCCATGATCCAAAAACCTCAGATAACAGCAAAAAACAAAAAGAGACACAACAACACAGTTTCCAATGTTACACAAGACAAGTTTCTAAGACAACAGAAAACTTGAAAAACAAAACAAAACAGTAGCTCAAATCACGAAAACTATGTTGAAAACGTGCAGAGAGGAGTAAAGGTGGTGAACGAAGAGGTGGGAGTTTTCAACTTGGTGGCACGTTGAAAGGGCAGGGAAAGATGACAGAAGAAAAGGGTCGCGTGGTGATGTTACAATGATCATATGGTGGTTGTGGCTGACGAATAAGAAGCGTGTTGGTGAGATGGAGGTTGGGATTTTGCAAGAGGTCAAAGGCATTGTAGAGAGAGAAAGGACGGCAAGTGCAAGAAACAAAGAAATAAAGAACGAACGAGTCAGTCTGGGTGGCCGAAGGGTGTGTAATTAATAAATGTGTAATGTTATAAATGATATATATATATATATATATATATATATATATATATATATAAAGTAAATATACAATTCCATTATAAAACAATATTATTTATAGTGTTGTGGTATTGAACAGGTTTCATATACATTATTTTATCAAATTATAAATTTACAGGTTTATCTTTTTCTTCTTAACATAATCGATACTAGAAAGTTATATTGAACTCTGATTAATTTAGGTTAAGTAAGTAAGGTGATACTAAAAAAATTATTTTATTAAATTTAATATCTTTTAATGAGTTTATTTTTTAAAAAATATTAAGGTTTTAGATTTAGATTGTGTAAAAAATTTTAAAGTTAATTGAGATTTTTAATTTTAAAATTAAGTAAATTTGGTCTTATCATTAATTTTTTAAATACTTAAATTATTATTATTATTATTATTATTTGGAGTCCATGATTGATTTGGGATGTGAAATAATTTTAAAAGTTTAAAATAAAAATTTAATATAATGTGAATGATTCTATAAGTTATACTATTAAGTTGGGGACTAATAATTATTTTATTCTAGGTGAATTTTGATTTCTTTTATTAAATTTAAAGTAATTTTTTTAAAAAAAAAGTTTAATCAACTTAATTTATATAAAAGTAATAAAGAATTGAGAAATTAAAAAATAAAAAACAATATTAGATTTATTTAATCCTAAAAATAAAAAACTAATGAACTTAAAGAAATATAAAGAATAAAAAAAAACAATTTAAATTAAAAAAATTAAAAGCATGATTAAGTTAAATATCAAAATAAACAAACCAATATTTTTATCAATTAAATAGATTATCTATTACCATTTATCAAGTATGATATTAGAGGTGAATTAAAGTATTAAGTAGTGATACATAACATTATATGTTGAATATATAATAATTTCTATTGACAAAATTAAAAGAAAAGGCATTTGGTTTCTTAGAAAGAAGAGGGAGGAAATGATTGTGTCGTGTGTATTGACTGAAATGTAATTATTGTTGAAATGGGTGTCTGAATTTGACCGTAGAATCTTAACAAATTATGAATCTTTGGATTGCATGGCACGTGGCAACCCAGCGTGCTGTTTCACTCTGCATTTTCAATTATTATGGTTTAAATAATGACATATGCAGTTCTGCTTTTACCGCTCAAGTTTGTTTTTCTTACCTTCGCAGTTACTGTTGGGTGATTTTAGAGCAGTTCAAATGGACTAAAATCTTGAGCTCTACTGCGGCTGGTCTCTTATATAATTTTATTTTTTTAAAGTCTTATTAGCTTTAAGTTTTAAAATAAACAAAAAATAATAGATTAGATTAAAGTTAAAGTGAGTTAACTTACTTATTTACTAGTTAAATAATAAAGTTCTATAGTCGGTAGATTTATATTGATTTTAAACCTTAAAATAAAAAAAAAATAATAGGCTAGAGTTAAGGTTAAGGTGAGTTACTTTATTTATTTTATAAATAAATAATAGTTATTATATTATTTTTATAATATTTATTAAATTATTTTATTTAAATGGATTAAAAATTATATTTAAAATATAAAAATAAATTTTTTTATTTAATATATTAAAATTTTATCATAAAAATAATATTAAATATAATTATATTATAAAATTAAATTTAATATAATACATTAATAATTTATGATTTTAATTAAGAATTAATATTAAATATTTTTAACTAAACAATAATAAAATAATATTTTATAAAATACTATTTAATAATTATTTTAATAAATTTAATAATTCTAGTATATTTAAATATTTTTTTAATAATTTTTAATAATTATAGATTCATTATAGCTTAGGTTTATACATGGTATAGTTATTTTTAAAATAAATATAAATATATAAAATCTTAAATGATTAATTTTAATATATTTTATATACATATATATAGGTATACATAAATTTTTTTTATTGTTAAGAAAATATAGTTGTTAATATATACTTGAAATTTAATAATTAGTAAATATTTATATAAATCAACATAAAAATAAAAAATTAAATTATTAGTTAATTTATTAATTATATGTAACATGTAAATATATATTTTAATTTATCGTATACATACTATTTTTTTATATTACATTAATGATAGTGTATTTAATTTTATGTATATTTATAATTTAAAATAATAAATTAATGAATAAAATAAAATTAAATATTATATATATATATATATATATATATATATTTTGCATTTAGTTTGAAATTTTGTATTAAGTTTTATTACAATTTTTTTACTAAGATAAAAATTTAAAAACATAAATTACTTTTTTGCATCCATAAATTTTATAATGTAAAATATTCTATATCTACAATTTCTAATTTACTTTTTTTTTAAACATATTCATTTTTATTCAGTAGATTTAATAAATTTTTTCAGTATTATTTTTTATTGTCAATTTTATATGTTTATTGTGACTTTATTTTTTGAATATAAAATGTTCTTACACAAATATAATATGATCCTTAGAATATATATATATATATATATATATATATATATATATATAATATTTTTAATTGTTTTATAAAAATAAATCAAGAAAAATAATAATATAAAACTTTTTATAATATGAAAAATTTATAATTAATATTCAAATAATATTTTAAAATTTATTTATAAAATTATATAAAAATTATTATAATTATTTAATAATTTTTAATAATACAGATAAAAATTATATAAAAATTATTAAAATTATATAATAATCATTAATTTTATTTAATAACAACAATCATTATAAATATTTATTATTATATTATTTTATTTTTTAAAAAAAATAATTTTATTGAACTACAAGCTTATAATAAAATTTTATATGAAATAAATAATTTATTAGATATTCTAACAATTATCACAATTTATATCAAATTTTTTCAAATCAAATTTTTAAAAATATATAAATTTTTTTGCCCACAAAATTCTAACTCTAACCCTAGTCCTAGCCCTGGCCTTGTGGGCTTTTAGCCTTATGGGCTTGTGAATTGATGGACTTTTTGGCTCACAAGGCTTCTTGACCCTAATCCACATGAGCTAATGGTTAGTGACAACACAAAACAAACCCATTTTCATAATGCATCCTCACATTTGTTACTTTCTACTTATTTATTTATTTATTTAGTTCCAAATAATAATGGATTTGGATGAATTATTTGTATAGGTTGTGATTATTCTATAGTTATCTTTTGATCATAAAATCGAATATTATGTTAGTATAACTTTGACATTATGATTGGATTAATTTAACAAATCAATCTTATAACATTATTGTAATTAAATAAAATTATATTTAAAGGAAAAAAAAATACATGCTTATTAATTTTAAGTTATTAAATCTAATTGTTAAAATTATAAATATTTAAAATAATTTTTATTGATCTAATTGTTAAAATTATAATTATATATTATTTAAATTATATATTTCAAATTTTGTTAAAATTAAACACTTATAAAATCAATTCTTATTTTTATAAATTATAATAGTATATATTACATTAGTTTAATGTATATGAATAAGATATTAAATCATTTTGAATAATCTCAAAATTTTTGAAATACTGATCTTTAACACTTTGATACCACTAACTTATAACATTTTAATTATATATATAATTTTTTATTTCTCTAATATTAACTGACTAAGTGTAACACTTTAATATTCCACATAACTAATTTGATACTTACATAAAAAAATATTTTACAAATATTATTTAATTTTTATATTTTAAAATTGTCTCTTTATAAAGACATCTTTTATTAATAATTATATTATGTTTATCTAGTAGTAAAGTTTATTTAAATATGTATATTTCACACGTGAAAAAAAAAAAACTTAAATTTTTATAAAACATGAATACATAAATTAAAGTATTATTTATTTTATAACTCCTTACGACATACATTCACACTTAATTTATATAGTGGAATTATATATTCTTCTTTCTTAGCATAGTAAAATTCATTCTTTATAATCCTATTTTTGATGACTCTATTATTTAGATTCCTTGGTGGATATGTTACTTTTTAATTTCTTTAGAATGATTATTATAGAACCTAAAAGACTTTATTTCTAAAGATTTATTTCTCTTTCTACGACCTTTTTTATGTCTAAATCTAAATGATATATTTGGCCTTGGGATAGACCCTCTCAATGGACCAGTTAGGTGAGATAGCAAAAGTGCACATGTATGTTCAAAAAAATGCATTACCAGACTCATTATGGGATAAATAGATTGTCAAAGAATATGGTGATCCAAACAAAATAAGTAGTAATATTATTATTCCTACTATGAAACCAAGTTTCGTTCGCATCCTAAATCATGGTCAAACTCAATATTATGATATGAAGGTTCTCCGTTTCCTTTAAAAATTTAGAATTTGTGTTTTCATGAAACAAATGAAAAGGGGGTAAAATAGAAAAATAACACAAAAAATACTCATGCAATAAAACAAAAACAAAACCATCATATTTCTCATCCACCGACAATCCACCAAAATTTTTTGAAACATAAATTCTATCACTTGTCATTTCTATCAAATGAATCTTAATCAAAACTTGTGTTTAGAAACCTCAATATCATTATCAATATTACCTCATATAAAAAATCTCATTTTTCACGGTAAAAAATTCAAGCAAGTAACTTTCATGAATAATGCTTAAAATTATATTTTATTGTCAAATCTAAATGCTCACAAACGTTCATTATAATTTTCATAACATGCATCACAAGCATACTCAATAAGATGTCTCAATCATAACTATGCTCACATGCATGCGCAATCTCATTACTTCATTACTTTGGTCAAAACACATCATCATGTCAAATCTATTTCACCATTAATTTGATGCACTCTTATAAAACTTAACCATTCAAAGATCATTAATTTGGCCA